AGTTTGCAGACTGCCAGAGGGAGGGGGAAAAGAAGGAAGGGGGCGGGGCCGAGGGGGGCGGGCCTGGACGTGCGGAGTGAAAGCGAAAGGCCGGGCAGAGAGCCGGGAGACCGGAGATCTTGCAACTGGAGCAGCATGGCCAAGCCTTGTGGGGTGCGCCTGAGCGGGGAAGCCCGCAAACAGGTAATGGGGGATCGGGAAGCCAGGAAAGGGTCGGGGAGCCCTCCTGGCTGGAGGCCAGTCTGGGTGCTCCAGGGGACCAAGGCCGTGCCAGAGAACTCCCCCAACCTTTTCTTAGTGCTTTCACTTCTGCCGGGGGATTCCCAGATTCCTGTCCTCTGACCAGTCTCTGCACTGAGCATGAGCTTCCAGGGAAATCTGGCTTGTGGTAGGAAAGGCCTGAGCCAAGTTGGAGGGCATCCCTTTGTGGGTGGGATCTTACTCTTGACAACTGAGACCCTTAACCAACATCCGGGTACTGCTCTCTGTGCAGGTGGATATCTTCAGGCAAAATCTTTTTCAGGAGGTAAGTCTTCTAGATTCAAGCGGTTTGACTCGGAACCTTAGACCAGTACTTGAGGGCCGCAACCTCTCAGACTGACCCCCAGACCCACCCTGGGCCCTCCTTCCTTCCCTTCTCAAACCTTTACCTAAGGCTAATTATTCATCTCCCCCTTTAATTTGACCCCTCTTAATGTTCTCTCCACTTCTGCCACTTCCTCTCTCCTCTTTTGGTGTAGAAGGGAAAAGCTGTGGCCCCAAAGCCCTAACCTTGGTTCTGCCACTTCCCAGCTTGGGCAAGTCCCTTCACTTCTTATGGCTTCAGTTTCCTTATTTGTAATTATTGGAGTCAATGATTTACAAGGGCCCTTCCAGTCTTACTTCTCAGACATCTCTTGAGCATCTTCTGAGATTCCCCACCCTTTCAATGTAACCCACAGGCAGAGGAATTCCTCTACAGATTTTTACCACAGAAAATCATATACCTGAATCAACTCTTGCAAGTGAGTAGTGTGGGCCCTTCTCACTCCATCCCAAGGCCTCTCTCCTCTCCACCCAACCCCTCCAGCGAACAACTGGGCTCAGCCTGCAGAGAACAGTTATGAGTAATGGACTGGAAATGGTAGGATGGGGTGAGGCCTGAGCCTAGACAGTGGGTGGGTGGGCTGTGTGGAGGGAAGATTGTGACTCAGAATGAGGGGAATAGGCTGGGCAGCTGCTGACGCTGAGCTCTGTGCAGGAGGACTCCCTCAATGTGGCTGACCTGACCTCTCTCCGGGCCCCACTAGACATCCCCATCCCAGACCCCCCACCCAAGGATGATGAGGTGAGGCACTCAGTGTGCAGGGGTCAAACTATAATCCAGGTGGGGAGGATAACCCTGCAACCTCCAACACATTTCTAAAGCTGCTGTCCCCCTTTTTACCTTAGATG